TGTGTGAAACAAAACCACTCTTCTCACTAATTTTTTTGTTTCAGAAAATAGCTGTTCTCATAAAACATATTTTGTTTATGTTAACATGTAAGGACATGTTTAAATGAAGTAATAATTTCTTAGTTTAATTTCCACTATGGCAAATTTCCAAAAATAGAACCCATTTAAGGTACACACACACACACACACACACACACCTACATACATCATAATCCCTTGATATTATTTGATATCCTGTCTATGTTCACACATTTTCAATGGTGTCAGACATGTCTTTTTACACATGGTTTGTTCAAATCTGCATCCAAACGAGACGCACATGTTACATTTTGGGGTTCGGTTTCTAAAGTGCCTTTGTTCCATAATGGTCTCTTTGCCCTTTTTTTAAAGATTTTTGTCTTTATACCCTTGATTATTGGTAAAACTTAGAAATTTGTCTCGTACAATGTCCCACATTCTGGATTTGGCTGATTGCTTTCTAGTGGTATCATTGAATTTATTTCTCTATCCCTCATATTTCCTGTGATTTGGAAAGCTGGAGGTTTGATTAGATTCAGGTTCACTTCCAGGCTGTGTGTCCAGGATGAGAGCCTTAACCTTTCTGTGTCTCAGTTTCCTTATCAGTAAATTGAGGATAAGAATGGTAACTACCTCACTGGGATAGTATAAGAATTAAATTAGTTAAAATATGTAAAATACTCAGAACAGAGCTTGACACCCAATATTTGGTAGCTATTATCATCATTTGAGGACAGCCTCCAGCTTCAAAGCTAGAGACCAACATAAACAACAAAAAATAATCTAGGAAGTGAAAGGAAAGAGCAGAAAATGACAACTGATGTCCTCAGGTATATGAAATGAGAGAAGGTCCTGAATCCACAACATGAAAGCAAGAGGTTGCGAAAAGAAAAGTCAGGTACCAGGAAAAACTCAGAAATTACAATTTTGGAGCAGAAATGAGAACACTCAACAGAAGAAGAAGGGGATGAAGTTCAGGAAAATCTCTTATAAACTAGAGCAAAACCAAGAGGTGGAAAATGAGAAAGAAAAGATTTTAAAAACAAAGGAATCGATCACAGAGAAAGTCTCCCAAAATCGAACACTACACGTTTCCTGACTGAAAGGGAGTGTCTAGTACAATGAATGAAAAAGACTTACCATGACAAGTCATTATGAGCGTTCGGAACACCAAGGATGAAGGGAAAACCTATACCCTAAAAAATTCTGGAGAACAAATGAACAAACAAAAATGACACAGGAAGTAACAGAAATCAGAATAAAAATCAGATTTCTCAAAAGTCTAGCCACATGAGAAGCTAAAAGACAACGGATCAATACCTTTAAAATTCCAAGAGAATTTGATTTCCAATCTGGAAATCTGTACCCCGCCAAACTGTCAAATGTGAGAGTAAAACAAAGCCATTTTTAGACAAGCAAGGTTTCAAACATTTACCTCCCATGAACCCCTTCTGGGGAGGTTACTGGAGAATGCACTCTTCTAAAATGAGAGAATAAACCACAAATGGGAAGATCCAGGACACAACGGATTTGGCACCAGGGAGAAGAGATGGGAATCCCCAGAATGTGGTTAGGGGAAGTCCTACAACAATAGTTGCCTAGTGAGGCCAAGACGATAATTTGGAGAGAAGAGGATGGGCCTAAGGAAGGATGTCTCCAATTAAAAAAAAAAGAAAAAAAAAAAAA